GGGGGAAGGGAGGGGAAGGGAGGGGAAGGGAGGGGAAGGGAGGGGAAGGGAGGGGAGGAGAGAGTGTTTGTTTGAGGAAGTCGTACCTGTAGGGGTCATTAACCTAAACGTCCAAGCAACCAGTTGGCTGAGACAGCTCAGTGAGCTAAGGCACTTGCCACCAAACCTGAGTACCAGAGTTCCATTCACCTGACCAACATGGTAAGAGACCAACATTGTAAAGGAGAAAATTGATTCTCCCAAGCTGTCCTCTACTTATGAACTCTCTCTTTCTCTCTCTTTCCCTCTCTCGCTCTCTCTCTCTCTCTCTCTCTCTCTCTCACACACACACACACACACACACACACACACACACACACGGTGGGGGGGGATTAAAATTTTAAAATAATCCAAGCTTCAACAGCCTAGACTTTGAGATCCTTGGGTGCATCAGGCCAGGCCAGTGAGAGTTCCTGTTCTTTGCACCCCTTCCTTGAGGCGTTTCCTCTGCCCTTCCGAGCTTAGCATATCCTTTATCCCTTTCGTCCCAGTCTCCCTAACACACGCCAAACTTGGTCTGTTCTTTTGCTAGCTTTGTCTTTTCCCCTCCTCAGAGTGACTGGGTGGATGGCAAAGCACCCTTCATAATGCCTGGTAACATTCATGCTGGTCCCCTCCCTCCCATGTCGTATCTATCTATGGTCTTCTTCAGAGACCCTGTCTGTCGGTCCAGCGGATCCCCAGGGACCCTGCTCTCTTTCCCTGGCGTGGTCCACAGGGTGAGCTGCAAACGCTGGTCAAGCTGCAGGTTACTGAACAGCAGGGACTCAGGGGAGGTGGTCTCGGGACTGGAATTGTGCTGAGCAGCGCTTTCTGAGGCCCTGAGGTGCTGCTTGCTCCCTGCTGGGTCCGTGCTCTTCTTTCTTTCATTTTTCCGGCACCCTGGAGCTCCTAGCGGCAGACTAAAACCCTAATGCCAGTTCAGCAACTAAATGCAACGTTAGAGTCCGGCCGCAGCTCCTGATTGGCCCCCAAACACTTGACTCCGCCCTCTCCCATACTGCCCCACCCACAGGTCCCAGTGTTGCTCTCTGGAAGAAACTGGTGCCTTTGTTGCCTACCCCGTTCATTCCACCTCTCTTCTCCAGTCTTGCAGCTTTTCAGAGACTTTAATGCTCCAGGATTTTCTGGGCTTTTAATATAAAGGTCGCTGTATCCCCGATGTCACGTCAGCAGCTTTCTGTGAGCGTCGGGGACAAGCGCAAGGAATATGGCGCAGAGAGAAGGGAGCACCAGCCAGATATTGCAAAAGACAGATGCCGGCCAGAGACCTCTGTGGAGCAGTGGAAGCTCCTGGATGGCCCCGGAAGCCCAGGGTTAAAAATCTACTCTGCCTCTTGGTAGCCACTTTGGGTCGACCCCTATGCATTCCCGGGCCTTCAATGTTCCTTCTCTTTAAAGCAGGAAGTTAGCGCCCAAATGGGCAGGTCGTGTAAGACCAGAATAGACTGTAGGTTATTTAAGGTAAGACCCTAGGACATTTGCCATTCTGCTTCACCCACCATCACGTGGGTCCTGCTCGTCCCTGCTCGTGAGTCCTCTGACTCAGTCAGAGTCTGATTAGGGTCTTTAAAACGGGGGACATTAGGGGATGGTGTTTCTAGTGGGAGACTCCTCCAGGCGGAGCCTGGCTGCTCTAGCTGGTCTTGACATCAAATGGCGCTAGCCGCCCTTAGCTCCTTCCCGCCTCTGGCCTTAGCAGAAGTGTATTTAGGAACTATTAAAAGTAAGGACAGAGGTAGATGCCTCTGTCTTCGGCAGAAGGTTATGTTAGGCATTTCCTTCCCTGGACCCTGACAGCGTATTAACCTCCACCGTGCTGGATGAATGCCTGAGCCCTGGTGAGGAAAGCATCCTCACCAACAACAGATCTGAAGCCAGCCGGGACTGTAGTTCTTTGTTCTGCTCTGGAACTCAGTCTCCCAAGTGCTGTAGTAGCAAATCCACATTCCTGTATTGGCTCAGCTGGTATCCACGCTGAGGCTTTGCTTTTTCTGTCTTTGCTAGGGCTGAGGATGGGCAGATCTCTAGAGAGGTTTCCCTCTGCCTAGGACCTCGCTTTTTTCTCACCAGCTGTCTCTGTTCCTAGGCCTGCAGTGCAATGCCTCCGTGGATCTCATTGGCACCTGCTGGCCCAGGAGCCCTGCCGGTCAGTTGGTGGTTCGACCTTGCCCTGCCTTTTTCTACGGTGTCCGCTACAACACCACAAGTAAGGAGAAAGGAAGAGGGTGGGCTGCTGGGGCTGCCCGCCTCAGTGTGGAGGTGGAAGGGAAGGTCAGCGTCGCCCCTAGAGCCAGCTCTGCTCTCTGCTTGCTCCTGATGATTCTGGCAGAGGAAACACCTGGTATATAACCAAGGCACCTGGACTCAGAGAAGTTAGAGAACTTGCCCAAGTCACCAGCCGATAGGGGGTGAAGCTGGAATACGCAGGTCTACCTGACCCTTTCTTCTGTAGTTGCAGTTGACAAGCTTCTGGTTAGTCCCATGGAGCCCCAGCCACTCCCGAGATAGGTGGGTAATTGTCCTAACAGGGCAGGGAAGTTCCATGGAGACAGGGCACCCAGAGTGCCCAATCCACAATAGAAAGTGTCTTGTATCCAAGTATCCCAGGCCCACAGCTGTAGTGGGGGTGGGGCAGGGCTGACCCATGGACTGAGCAGAGACTGGATCCCAGTGTAAACACCTTGCTCCCCAGAGGCCCCGCCTTCATGCTGGGCTTTGCAGCTCCTTGCTATAGCATCTGCCACCCTCAGAATTAATTTGCTTTCTCCTGCCAATGACTCAAGTTCCTGCTCTCAAGAGAAAAACAGATGGAATCCAGGGGCCCTGGACTATACAAAGGAGGTTGAGTCCTTGGTCCCTGGGGGATAGGAGCCCCTGTGTGAATCCTGAAGGTGTGATAGGTCATCCCCAAGCTCCAAACATGTGCCAAAGTGACCAGATACCAGGTGACCCATGCCAAGATTCACTCGGTGACCTCAGTACATTCTCCCTTCTTGTGGCCTTCCGGGTTCTTCAGCTGAGGTTTAGAGGATTGATGACCTCTTCCCACTCCAAACTCCCAAACCTCTCCTACCCCTCCTTCATTTACCAGATGGCTGAAGGGGATAAGATTAGGAACACAGACAGGAGGGTTTGAAAGGGTGGCCATGGGAAGGTCATGAGAAGAGAGAGAAGAAATACTAGAGTGGGTGAGGGGCTTAAGGGGGAAAGGCCAGGTAAGAAAAAGTAGAGGTCAGAGGTCAAAGAGGAGACTTTGTGGCACATAGTCAGCTAGCTTCCAACTAGGGCATGTTTTGTAAAGAGGAAACTGAGGCATAGATTGATGGATAACTTAATCAGAGTCACAGTACCCGAAGGTGGAATCAGAACTCAGGGTTCTAAGGGCTGCATGTTGCTCTGTATGCCATCCCACCCTTGTCCCAGGATGGTGGCAGCATGGACTGACACAGCTCCCTGGGAGGTCTCTCTCCCATCACTACAGCATCAGGGCCGGTCTGGTCACCTTTAAAGCGCTCATCTTCCTGTCTACTGCCCAGCTTCAGGCGCTCCAGTCTAAGCCCTAGTGTGCCCAGTCTGATCCTGTTACACCCCACTCAATTCTGTTACATCTTTCTGTGCCTCACCATGGCCTGATTCAAGTCTACTAGGCTGTCTGTGGTTACAGCCCCACTCACTTTTGCAGCCAGCCCCAGCCATTCTCCATGGGTGCCCTCAGTTCAGATTACCAAGGTTGACTGGACATACTCCTGCAAGTGCTTGAATGCTATGGTACCCATGGGCCCTGCCTTCGACAGAAGCCGGGCATCCTGCACTCCAGCCCCATCTCTGTCTGTCCAGAGTTCAAGAGTCCTTGGTTTGGGGGCCGTCTCTGGACCTTTGTTTCTCTATCTGCAGGTTGGTTGGGGGTGTGGTGAGGTATCCCCTGGGTTCTCTTGATCACCCAGTAGTTCCAAGGAGAAAGTTGAGATGTTGGTTTTCCTGGCATGGGCTGCCAGACTCCCCATGCAGATGCCCCTGGAACCAGACGATGGGAGTGCGCCCTCGAAGGTGTCAGGAGGGGGCAGAGCTGCTTCTAGTCATTAGCTTCTAATTAACTCATTTACTGATGAGGTGTTGCTAGGACTTCCAAGCTGCTCCTTACCGTTCTCCCTCCTGCGGCATCAGATCTTCAGAGGGATGGGAAACATTTCCAAAAATATCTATTTTTCCCATAATCCTCTAGGAGGACTGCTCAGCTCAGCAATTAGACAAGGAGGTTGGCTCCTCCCTGGCAACAAGCCCCTGTGGTCCAGACTTGTTTTCCTTCAGGGTCAGTTCGTCCCTCTGGGCCAAAGCTTGCTGCTTCCGATGGTCCATCCTGTGGACCAGCTCCAGACACCTCCCTTAGGTGGGGGTAAGTGAGGAAGCTGTTGAACAAAGAAGACTTAAATCCCTACCTGCACCCCTTGGATAGAGACAAATGATATGTTCTATTATGTAAGGTTATATAAAAACAGCTCGGAGACAACAATAATAGACACCGGGCTGACACCATATGCCCGGTATAGCTCCAACTGTTAACTAAAAACACTAACCCAAAGAGGCCAGAGTGTTTTCAAGATGGCTGTATCTCAAGTCAGGGAGGCTGAGCGATCAAGTGACTCACCCAAGGTCACACAGGTTGTAAGGGTAGTGCCAGCATTTGAACCCAGACTCTGTAGCTCAAGGGGCCCTGTTCTGAGCCCTGCTTTGTGCTGCTTCTTGCTGCCTTATGCTCTCCCAATCCATCCTGCCATAAGCCCCTTTCATGCTGACAGTCTAAGCAGCCTCTGGTTAGTGCCGGTCACATCCAATCCATACTGTGTGCTGTAATCAACCTGCTTATTCTTGTCCTCCTATCCCCACAGATATCCCAGAACAACCTCATTGTGAATCTCTTGAGAATCAGCTCTTATTTAACACCAATGGGGAGCCTTTGGCCTCATTGCTGACTCTATCCAGATCATAGCTTTCACAGGACTCAGATTTGCTCACGGTGAGGCCAAGCAGAGCTAGGAAAATCCATAAAGATAATTTTCCCCATTGGCTAGCTGCAGCCAGAGCAGCTTCTCAGTTAGAGAGGAGACCACAGCCTTTTTGGTTAGAAAGTCAGAACAGCTCTCTCTGTTGGGGCAGCTTTAATTCCCCCCTGGCCTCTCACTGTACATTTACCTCTGGTCCTGATGCTGCAGGGAGGCAGCCCCCAGTTGATAATGGTCCTTAGGCATCAACTGGAGCATCTACACCTTTAGAAATAAATGGAGGGGGTGAGGGGCACTAACTGCTCAGCTGTAGCAGAGCTATGCCTTTGGCCCCTGTTGGGCTCCAAGCCCAGGGCCTGGGACTCTGGCAGCGTACCCTGCCCTCTTCCAGCCTGTGGGTCAGTTGGAGCCACAGATCGGACTATAGAAAGAAAGACTGGAGTGAGAGCCAGAAATACAATGAAGTGTGGATAACAATACTGATGCCAGAGAGGGTGTGGGACACTCCTGGTCTCCCTCTCTGATAGATTTTCCCAGCTCTGCTACCCAAATGGCTATGCAGAAAAATGGATAAGAGGGGCTCTTTGGGCAGCCCTGCCCCTCCCAAGGCCCTAAAGCTAAGTAAAGCATCCCTAAGGCCCCTCCAAGCCTCCCTAGGAAGTCAGACAGTCTAACTGCAGTCCATTCTGACAGTCACAGGATCCACCATCCTTAGTATCCACTCTCTGACCTGTTTTCTAATGTCACATCCCAGGCCCAGAGCAGCAGCAGCAGCAGCAGTAGCAGCAGCAGTAGCAGCAGCAGTAGCAGCAGCAGGCCTAGTAGCAAGCTACCTGACCATGAGACCCACTCAGTGCCATCCCCAGCACACCCCTGACATCTGCCCTTTTCTACCTAAAAGGCCTCCCCTGTGGAGCCTCCAATATAAGGCTGTGGAGAGATGGTACTGTTGGGACCTCTGTAAGTTAGACCCCATGGGGAACGCTCCAGTGTAAGAATTCCTCACAGACAGACAAACACAAGGAGCCCCATCATTTAAACCACCCAGGTGAGCAGTCACTGCACATTCATCCACCAGATCCCAGCCATGTGTCTGTTTTTAAAGACAGTCTCACTATGTAGCTCTGGCTGGTCTGAAACTCACAGAGACCTGCCTGCCTCTGTCTTAAAGCATATACCACCACTTCCAGCTGCCCAGTGTGTCTCAAGTCACATCATGTGTCGTTCTCTGTCTTCATGAAGGACCCCAAACAAGAACATCTTGGAAGAGTAGCAACCAGGACATTTACCACTGGAGAGAGTTTGGGGAGGCAGCCCTCAGGGTAAAGGGAGAGCATGATCTGTGCCAGTTTGGGCTGACAGGGCCAAGGCCCTGTGGACTGCTTGTAGGGTACAGATGTAAACCTCTGTGGTACAGGAAGTAGAAAGAGGTTGGGTATGGAGTAATCAGGAAGTTCCCCTCCCAATTTAATTCCAGGGTTTCCAGCCAGCAGGCCCTATGCTAGCTCAGATGTGTGACAGACGTCTCTTCTGACATAGGTTTTCTTCTATTCCTAGACAATGGCTACCGGGAATGCCTGGCCAATGGCAGCTGGGCAGCCCGTGTGAATTATTCTGAGTGCCAGGAGATTCTCAACGAAGAGGTGAGGATAGGCTACCATCCTGAGGAGCAGACCAGCGCTGCCAGCACAAGCAGGGAGCGGAGGTGGGGGTTGGGGGGGAATGGCTGCCACATGAGCAGCTGGGACCTGGGGAACTTTCCAGATGCTGGTGTTGGGACTTTACCCTATAGAAGCTGGTGGGGAGTCTCTGAATATGCATAGCGTAGGGAATTCAGCCCTGGCCCTCTTCTTTTGTCTCTCTTTCCCCACATCTCTCTTCCTTCCTTCCTCTCCCTCCCACCTTCCCTCTCTCCCTTCCTCTCACACTTGTCTTTGGCTGCTTGCACTGGGTGTGGGACAGGGCTGGGGTACAGCTGAGCCCAACGGTAGCTGGATCCACAGATAACTAAGATTGACATCAAAGTCCAGCCATGAGAGCCTGTGTCAGAACCAAGGCTGGAAGTGGGGCACTGATGCAGTTTTAAAAAGTCCCAGAGGTGCTTTGCAAAACTTCAGTGGTTTTGAGCAGCTGTTGCTTATCCGGAATGCAAAATTTAAAAGGTCCAAACGGGAATACATGGAGAAGCGCCCCTCCCGTTGCCATCCCCAGCCAGCTGCTCACGTGTTCTGCGGGTACGGGTCAATGTGTCTCTGCATGATGTTCTTGGCCTTACCTAGACATCACCTGTCATACAAACTACTTGATGCCTGCTTCTTCATGTGGCCATCTATCCTACAGATTGTTCCATGTCAGTTTAGAGCAAGCCTCTTCATTCTCATTAGGCTTGTATACTATCCACAGTCCAGATGTGCCGTAACCTAGCAGGCCAGTTTTCATTCTGTCTTTGGGTTTTACAGACAGCATTATCACGAAGAATCTTCCATAAATGATGTTTGCCAAATGCATGAATATCTGGCTTCCTCTATCACTGCCTCTCTATGCTTAGTTCCCCTTACCCCATCTGATCCTGGAAATCCCATCCTCTGAAGGTCTGAGTTAGAAAGGAACTTGGAGACCCTCCATCCCATCCTGAGATTTCCAGACCTGCTTAATCTCATCCAGAACACTTGATAACACACAGCCTCCTGAAAAGCCAGGGCTCGAGGTGGGGCAGTGGTTGGAATGGACTGCTAAAATACCAAGATGCCCCAGAATTTCTTGGCTCGGCAGTCAAAAGCACGTGCTCTTTGCTCACACCCAGGTTTCATTCCAAGCACTCACATGGTGATTCACAACCATCTGTAACTGCAGTTCCAGGAGAGTCAACACCCTCCTCCGACCTCTGCAGACACCTGGCACATACATGCATGCGAGCAACACACTCAGGCACATAAAGATAAAACAAATCAATCTAGACATATTTTGAGGCTTGAACTCCCAGTCCTTCCGCCTCTGCCGCCCAAGATCTTACAGATGCTTGGCATCACCTCCCATGTTATGAATTGCTAAGAATCGAACCCCGGGCTTCATTCGAGGTAGGCAAGCATTGTGTCAACTGAGCCACATACCCAGCTTGTGTAAGTCATCTATAATGAATAGAAACATTCTGGCTTTTGATTCTGGAAGCTGAGGCATCCAAGGTTGGAGGGCTAGTATCTTGCAAAGGCCTTGCTGCTGTATCATCTCATGACAGAAGGCAAAGAAAGGGTGAGAGAAAGCAAATGGGCCACACATCCCTTTAGAAGGAACCAGATCCTGCAGTGAGGCCCCCACTTGACTGAGAGACCCCCATATCCAACAGCTCTGTACCGGACACAATGTCTCCAGCCTTTAAGCTTCAGGAACACATTCGTATCACAGCAGTTGCCGTGTCTTGGGGTATCTCTGGCACTCTCTCTCTCTCTGTGACACTGCTGTCCCTGCGGCTGTCTTGGTGCTCTGGTTCTTCGATTGCATCAGACCCTTGGGTCGAGCGGAACCCAGAGCTTGACCCAGCTGTGTCTCTGCCCCTGTGGTTTGGGGCTCTGTTTTTCCATTCCAGCCTTCGTGAAGAAAAATACTAGTGAGCCACTCTTGATGCAGAAGGCCCTCCACCAAGATCTTAGACACAGCAGAGAAGAGGAACCCCCCCCCCGGGGGTTCCTATCCCCCAATCCCTTCTTGCCTCCCCCCCAAATACCCTATGGGTATAAGGAGAAGAGAATCCTAAAAGCCAGGCTGGCCCAGGTTCTGATTGCTAATTGTACAGCTTGAATCAACTGTACGGCCTTTCCAACCAGAAAACAAGGTTATGGGGCCAGCCTCAGAGATTTCACTGAGGATGGTGGTGTGGGACCCAGCACACAGTAGGTCCTCTCAAAATTATCCAGCTTCACTCTGACAAACAGAGGGGCCAGGGTAGAGGCTCCCTCACCCCCGCCCCCTCCTAGACCCGAAGAGAAGGCTGGAGCATGGCAGCATCTCGGTTCTACAGATACCGTTATTACCCAGGGGCTTCTCAGCATGGAAGTGTGGAAAATTTAATAAAAAGAAATCAAGTGTTGATTCCAGACAGGCTTTGCGTTGTGCATGTCTGTCTGGAGCCTCTGGTAGGATCCTGGCATCTGCTGCAGGCCCTTAGAGACCCTCAGTGTTTGCAGGTCAGAATGGACCATCCCGCCCTTGCCTTCCTCCCCTGTCTCCATTCACCATCCTGGGGTTCCAGGGCTCCAGCGGCATGAGCTGCTAATCTGATGCCCTGCCTTCTTGGGAACAGGAAAGTGGGAATGGGAGTTTTGCATCGGGAATCTGCTAAGAGCCGAGCACTGGGTCCTAGCTGGTCCCCTGTGACGTAAGGACCCATTTGTAGCATCAATACCTTAGGTATAGGTAAGAGATCCTTTAAGCTGAATTTAGCAATCTTGAGCAGATCAACATACTTCTGGGCTTCTTTTTCTGCAAAGTGAGTTACAGATGCTTTTCCGGCTTTTCCCACAGGCCCACTTTGAGCGTTCAAATGAGGAAAACTCTTAAGTGGGAAGGCTCTCACATTTGTGCCAGTAGCTCCCGTCCACCACATATTCATAATTAGAAAGTTAGGGGCCAGAGAGATGGCTCAGTGGATGAAGGTGCTTGTCAAACTGAGTTTAATCCCAATGATCACCTGGTATGAGGAGAGACCTGGCTTCTACAAGTTGTCCCTAATCTCCACACACGTGCCATGACACACGTGACTATACTCATGCTCCCACATAGACACACACATTGAATAAATAAATGTAATTAAAATGTTTTTTAATTAGAAATGGCTGAAGATGTAGCTGACAGTAGGAAGAGCACTTGCCTAGCCTGCTCAAGACTCTGAGTTCAATTCAGAAAGAGGAGAGTTAGCATACGGAGGAGGCATGGACGAGGGAAGAAATGGAGAAACACTGTTCACGTGGCGCAGCCCCTGGGCCTGGGATGAGGGAAGGCTTTGAGAATAAGGGATTGGTGCTTTCTTGTTTCAGGGGTATGTGTGTGGTACAGGTATATGTTCATATATACACGTGGGGAACACACATCTGTGTATGTCTGTGGAGGTCAGAGGTGGAGGTAGGATGCTTTCTTTAATGGTTTCTACCTCATCTGCTAAGACGAATATCTCTTCACTAAGCCTGAAGCTGACAGTGTCGCTGGGCTGGCAGGCCAGTGATCTAGGGATCTACCTGTGTCTGATCCTCTGTGTTGAGGTTAAAGATCCCCTCAGCCACACTCAGCTTTCATGAGGGTGTCAGGGATCCAAACCTAGGTCCTCACTCAGCCAGATTTGGTGTGACCAGGAAGATGGGAGCGTTCAGAAGTGAATGAGAAATGACGCCCTGGAGGGCTGGGGTCTGTGGTGTCAGGACAGAACGACACATGGGTATCTGTGGACACTGGAGTATATGTGTGGGTGTATGCAGTGTTACTGTGGCACAGGAGCACCATGTGACATATCTGTCAGTTCATATCTGTCTGAAACACATGACAGACCAGATTCAGAGACCGACCCAAGTGGATGGTGTTGCTCCAAGGTAGCATGTGGCTCACACTGTCACCCTGGAGCGGGGCAAACCCTGTTACTGTTGCCCACTCTTCCCTAGTACCCCTCCCTGGTGCTGTCCTCTCAGAGCTGTTTAGTTCAATGGGTACAGAGGCGTGGCTGTGCAGGAGGCTCACCTCTACCCTCTCTCCTGCTTCAGAAGAAGAGCAAAGTGCACTACCATATTGCCGTCATCATCAACTACCTGGGCCACTGCATCTCCCTGGTGGCCCTCCTGGTGGCCTTTGTCCTCTTCCTGCGGCTCAGGTGAGAAGGCGTAGGCACTGCCTCATGCCACCCCTGGGCCCTTGAGCGTACTCAGGGAGGTGGGTAAGACACAAGCATAGCTATGGGGTGGGGGTGCTGACCAAGGGATAACCTGTCTCTCATTTGACTAGGAGAGTATCATCTATGTGAAGCTCGGGTCTCTTAGGACCTCTGCAGAGCCATGCCTGTCCTTTCTCCTAGCAGCCGCTGGGGGAAGGAGGGTAGGGAGAAACAAAGCCCAGGCTCACTCATGTTAACACCTAAAGCTGATCTGTATCATCTTGGGGTTCTAAGGCAGGGAGATCCCTGGAGGTGAGGGTTTTATCAAGTGACATCCCTGTCACAAGTTCAAGTGTGCCATAGCCCGAGCGATAGGTAAAAGCTGTAGCTCCGGAAGCTGAAAGTCAAGATGGGGTTTGCTGTTGGAGGTTTCCCCTGTTTGCAAGCACTCTGCCTTTCAATCCTGGGGTGTGGGGAATGGGGGGATCCCTGACCGCACCAGGCTCTTCCAGGAGTAGATGTCTTGGTAGCCCCCCATAGGAAGGGACCAGTGGAGTTCAGGCCAACCCATCAGCCTCACTCGCTCCAAGCTTCAGTCCCTCCATTTCTGCATCTGGGCTGGAGGGACGCTCGCACCTGCCCTCATCCTCTCTCTCCTCCCGTTGCTATGGCCACCTGCCCTCTTCCGCTGCCCCAGGAGCATCCGGTGCCTGAGAAACATCATCCACTGGAACCTCATCTCGGCTTTCATCCTGCGCAACGCCACATGGTTTGTGGTCCAGCTCACCATGAGCCCTGAGGTCCACCAGAGCAACGTGGTACGTCTCAGCTAGGGAAGCAGAGAAGGCTGAGCCTGTGTCAGAGGTGCGAGGGTAGGGCTACTCTGTAGGAGGGCCAGGCCTGGGTACCCACAGAACAGGAATAGGACCCCAAGGAGCCTCAGGGATGGACACTGGGGTCTCTGGACACCCTCCAGCTCATGGGCATCTCTGGTTGGGGCAGGCCTGGTGCAGGTTGGTGACAGCTGCCTACAACTACTTCCATGTAACCAACTTCTTCTGGATGTTCGGTGAGGGCTGCTACCTGCACACAGCCATTGTGCTCACATACTCCACCGACCGTCTGCACAAGTGGATGTTCATCTGCATCGGCTGGGGTGAGCTGGGCCAGCCCTGCCCCTGCCTCTCCTCTCTGAGGAGATGGGCTAGCCTGGTCAGGATGGTGGGATGTGCACCCTTCTTAGGGATGAGCATAGTGGGGTTGCCATAAAGCATCAGAGCTTAACTCCCATGAACCCCTGCCCTGCTGTAGGCCCCTGACTGCCCTGGGGTCCTCTGATGACAGCCGCTCTCTCCCTCAGGTGTGCCATTCCCCATCATTGTGGCTTGGGCCATTGGGAAGCTTTACTATGACAACGAAAAGTAAGTCACTCTGTGAGGTCAGAGCCTAGCTCTATGGTATACTCCCTGGGGGACTTCGGCCATTGTCTCTCCTGTAAAGACAGTGGCTCCTGCATCAGCAAAGGCAGAGCGTAGCACTGGCCTCAATTCTGGGATCTTTTCCAGTGCTCTGCCAGGGAGGTGGCACTAGACAGTCAGGGTCCCAGACTGTTATCTGTCTGAAGTTTTAAGGAAAGCAATACCAAAATCCACACAGCCCAGGTTCTGAATTATTGCCATCACCAAGTAGCTATGTGTGACCTTGGAGCTCATTGTCACAGCAGGCCTCAGTTTCCTCATCCATGAAATGGGCATCTTCATTTTACTTACTGTCTCAAGGCCGTAGTAGGGATGAAGGGCATCAGTGCATACTAAGCACATAGAATAGCACCTGCCACCAGTAAGTGCTGCATAAATGTTTGTTAACATTAAGGTGAGTTTTACAATAAGATTCTACTGGGTTCTTTTTTTTAAACTGGTCCAGATGGTTTCAAAGACTCTTCCAGCTCCATCTGAAGCCTTGTACATGAGGGACTTCCCAGCTGTCCCTCACAAGGATCATCTAGAAAGGGAAGATCTAGAAAGTTCTATACCTCAGGGCTCCATGCTATCGGTGTGGTCTGGGTAACAGGGCGTTTACAGTGTAAAGCTAAGATTGAGAACGGCTCAGAAAGACCAGGAAGGTGGGAGGAGCTGGGCAAGACAGAGGCCAGTACTGGTGTCACACATAAACACTCCCAGCTCCCAGCAGGCTGAATGGGGGTTCACACTGACAGACTCTCCCCTCTCCTCACTGAGCTGCACAAGAAGCCTGGGGGAGTATCATCCACATTTGTGAAGGTTGTTCCTTGTGCCTCGGGCTGGGGTGTTTGTGCAGCAGCAGGGTAGGTGGCAGGCTGTGGGGAGCCAGTTCACTAAGGTGGGTGTGCGGTGTCCCAGGGTATCCTCTTGGGAATTCCTGGATAGGGATGCCTGTGCTTTGTAGGATATGGAATTTTGAATTTGTACAAGAGACAGGGCAGGAGGAACAGGAGGGAGAGACAAGAGAAGGCAAGAAACACAGAAACGAGCCTGCTCCCACCCTGGAGCAGAAGGGGTGCTGTAAAGTTAGGCGTGAGCAGCCCTGAAGCCCCATCTAGTGGACAAATGCAGATAGTGCAGCAGAAGGGGCGTGGAAGAGGAGCAGAGAGGCCCAGGCGTCCCAGTCTGGAGTCCACAAACAGTGGTGTATGACCTGAGTGGTGTTTAATCTCTTGAACTTTTTTTTTTTAAAGGTTTGCAGTATTAGGGAGGTTGATAGCTGCTGGTTTATTTATTTATTTTATGTTTATGAGCACATTGTTGTTGTCTTCAGACACACCGAAAGAGAGCATCGGATCCCATTACAGATAGTTGTGAGCCACCATGTGGTTGCTGGGAATTGAACTCAGGAACTCTGGAAGAACAGTCAGTGCTCTTAACCGCTGAGCCATCTCTCCAGCCCACCGAGTGGTATTTAAAAAACAAAAAACCCTGAAGTTTCATCCAGGAGGTCACATATGCTAACTTCACATTCTGGTTTACAGCATCCATTTTAAGTACATATGCCCATAAAAGCATGAGACTTCCGACAGGAGCTTGCCGAACAAAGGGCAGCTCAGGATGATGCAAAGCAGGCCTATATCTTGCAATAGGTGTTGTGAAACCTTCCCTGCATGGGCTGCACTCCACCGGCGACGGAGTCCCGCAGAAACTGCTGTTGGTATCCACGTGTGTGGCACGCAGTGAGCATGCGCAGCCATAGCCGCTGCCATGAGTCCCTCCGTGGATACCAGAGAACGCAGTGCTGTGTCAAGCTTCCGGCTGTTTCTGCAATGCTGTTTGGAGAACTCTTTCCCTGGGAAACGCAAACAAGCTGCTACCCCGTCCTTTATAGGGATCCAACCACAAACTCAGGTGCAATTCACCAAAATCCAGCTGAGGGAACCAATGAATTTACTGGGAATGCCTACAGGGCCAAGGTGAGGGGTTCTTTACAGGAGCATAGGTGAGCTCCAAGTAGCCGCACCACTAGAAAGTCTCCCCACAGCATGGATAAAGACTTCCCTATTATATGAATGGAGTTAACCTCCAGTTAACTCTACAGACCTGAGCATCTCCTAAGACCATGAGGCTATGTGCAGTGGGCACCTAGAGGTGTAGGCAGACACGGCTGGAATCTCAGGCAAGGGTGCATTGACCTCCCACGGTGCTTCCCCTTCTGTGGAAGGAATGTCAAAATCGGTCCTGTTCTGAGGGCTCCTTACAAGCAGTCACAGCTGTGTGAATGAGGATAATGGCTGTCACAATCAGGGGCCTTCTTCATGGGCCCTCCCTCCACAGAGTTTGCTCCAGCTTCACATCCTACAGCAGAGGGTACCATCCCACTGTACAGACAGGATCACTGAGACACTGAAGGAGAGTCAGTTGGCTTGGCTTCCTTGGAAGTCCGGGTGCCTTTTCCTGATCAGTGGCAATGATCCTGCCCTACGTTCAACCACTGTACCACTGAAAGGACTCTGTTAACCCCTCCTTTCCCTTTCCCTTCCCCTTCCCCTTCCCCTTCCCCTTCCCCTTCCCCTTCCCCTTCCCCTTCCCCTTCCCCTTCCCCCTTTCCC